TAAGAGGTTCAACAGTAGGTTTGATTTGGCATTTTATTAGAATTAGCTTCGTGCTACACGTACATGGTGCAACACTCTATTTCCCAAGGACGCGTTGCCTCATCCAACCACAGAGAAATGATGACGCCTGTAATGCTACAATTGTGGAAACAATATCATTGGAGCTTTTTTAAGGTATATAAATACAAATATTTGAGAAACTTGAAACGCTTACATGAAACGTCTTCTGTCGTGTGAAATGAGGGAAAAGAATGCAATGCATTTTCAGTTGACACAAAACATAACGGAAATTAATTTCGACAGAATTACTCTAGGTTAAAAGTCATACAACGCCCTCAATGTTTGGTAAGGCTTTTAAGTTTTTTCAACAAAATTTAACTCTAGAACTATGTGTAAAACAAGCAAACTAACTGAAAGACAATCGTTCGGGAAATAAACACATTGCCGTTACAAAAATAATCATCTTACCTTTTCCATTCATAAATACTTTTTTACAATGAAGGGCATGTAGGCCTAGCTCTTTATTTTCCCTTTTCTTTTCTTTTTTTTAAAATTATTATATAGTTTTATAACGTGGGATATATTAATTGGCCTACATTCATAGCACATGACTTTATATTTCGAAGGAAGTGTTTTTGTGATTTCGTATAAGAATTTTGGTTGAGTTGAGAAATTTCAATCATTCCGTGACATAATTTCCAATTCGCTCAAAAAGGCCTAATCTAAATCGGACTTGCTAGGACAAAAAAACAGGCTTATACAAAAATTTAAAGATTTTATTAGAAAAAAAAAAGTGAGAAATATATTATCAAAAACATTCTAGTATTGGTTATGAGCTACATCAATTCGATTCAATTTTGTAATAAATCAACCTCATAATAAGGGGACTGTACACTCTAAGACGATCCCTTCAATACAAACCGATAGAAAAAAGTAAATTATGACGTAACTTTATCCGACTTGGTTATGACCTGTCATGATTGCAATTATTGTCAGACACAATCTGTAGCCATTGATAATAACCAGGTCTAAAGTCGTTAAACTCTAAATAACGCTAATCACCAGTTCTATGTTATTTTTCATTGATTGACAGAGAGTATCAGCGAGACCAGCAATCTAGTCTAGGCCTAGTGACTGAATAGCTTTTACAATATTTTCAACAGGTTCAACTAAATTCCCCAGCCTGGCTTACTCCTTGATTATTCAAATCGAACAGTATTTCATGTCATGATATGATAATTACGGTATCTAATAATTGATCAGTTTACGCCAGAGTATTGTTATAAAACCATTTTATACTACGAGAGTATTTGGCCTAATATTATAATCACGTAAGCATCATTTACATGTCTATTGTTTAGCATTTTATTGTTGTCTCTCCATTAACGTGTATAGTGTCTGTATGTAGGTTTACGTAACCTATATTATTACCATTTTATACAACCTACCTGTACTTCAGCTAATTCATTATGTAGGCTAATACAGTATAGTTAGCATATATAATGAAATAATAATTCCCTTAAGGGCTGGAGTTATGTTATTCAGGAAAACCCCACCTAACACGGCGTCGTGACTATAATTCCCGGCAGGAATCTCATTCACTGTTTTATTTACTTCACAATGCATAAAAATTGGCATTGATATGAAAATGAAAAGTGCATGAAATACATGGAAATACAAATAGTTGGATGTCTATACCATTAAGTTCAGTGTTAATTCAGAAATATATTTTCAAAGGAGTGGAGCAAGGAGAAATGAAATATAAATAGTAGACCAAATGATCAAATATATACACAATTAGATTAACTTCATATTTATATATATTACTTATTGAAAATTTGAAAATATTTTTGAAATTTTCAACATAAAAAAAAATAGGAATACATAATTTAAAAAGAACATATGAAAAATCAGGATGCAGAAAGAGAGAATGCTCTTGGAATGACAACAGGGTGTCACACCCAAGTGAATGACAATCTAAATTCTATGGAATACATTAAATTTGTAATAAGTGATCGTTTCTGCTGCGACTATAATGTAATGTTGACTTGATAATGTAGAATATGATTACACGAGAAACATGCGAAGAAAGCTAACAACATCTAAACAATACAACGTGGAACACTTACTTCTTTGCGATACAACTGAGAGAGCGTGAGGGGGGAAATCAGTAATGAAAAAAAAATTATACATTAGATTTCAGTATTATACAAAATATGATTTAATCATATTTAAAATAATGGTTCTACTTAACTTTCAGAACATATTTATATGGCCTATACTTTTAAACCTGTGGAAAATAGCACAAAAATATTCAAGAATATAATCCAATGAATATATCAAGAAATTATATTTGGGTGTAACCATTTCAATACATATACAGATACAAAAATATGTACAAACATCGAAAATATATCAAAAAGTAGCAAAATGTAACTAATATATGGAAAAATATGTGCTATTTAATATATGTATTGTAATATTCATGTTACGCTTTTGCAGAAATTAAACATTCAGTTACCGCCATTATATGTAGATATATGTATATAACATTAGACCACGGAGGCTTCATGGTTGAATAGATTCAAATATATATATTCACAATATGTAATGAGCTATGATGTAAATGACGCATTCATTACCATCATTGTACTGTCACACAGACCTAGACCAGGTTAATTATACTGAAACTATAAATGCATAAATAAATAATTCGGGACCACACTCAGAGAAGTAGTCTTTAATTGGAGGTGGTTTATATATATAATGTATATATAAACAGTATAGTCCTATACTCTTTTGAAACAAATGGGAATGGATATCTTTGACAAAGTCCAACAGACAGGTTCGAACGACCGAAATAAAAACTAAATAAAGAAGACATAAATGTCAATAAAAATAGAAACAAAAATGATATATGGATGTAGGCAAAACGTGACTACATTCAGAATTTATTATATCTGTAGCAATAAAGCATTATATGCATGTCATTTATAATTTATGATAATATTTGTAAATGGAATACTTTGATAACAGGACAGTTTATGATGCCGCAAGTTATTGGCTGCAAACAGCAGTTTCTATAACAAGGTGTTCAAGATAAAACATTCAAAAGAACAAAACCAAAAGTGCGACTGGTGAATTGTAATTATCATTATGATCATGAAAGTAAAATTTGTAAATGTGTTTCAGTTGTAGAATCTCTATATACAAATAAAATATCATGTATACAGTATAAACGTTCGAGACATTTTGATTTCTATAAAATCATTCAAAACATCGGCGTCCATAGAATAATGGCGTCTGTAATGGATTAAAGATGAAAAGGTCGTTGACAATTATCATCTAAGTTCAGTTTAATTTAATAGATTTTTAAGTAACTGTTAATTAAAACAAGCACTTCAAACCAATATTATCATGAATCATTTCCCGTTTGTAAACCATTAAATTTCAGAGAAAAAAATCACATAGCCTTGTGCCAGTGTCAGTTACATTTCCCATAATAAAAAAAGATTCATCTAAAAGATTATGCCGTTATCTAATCAATTTCCTTTACACTAAACCTTGGATTCACACATTTTCTCTTTCCGATTGATGTGCACCGCGTATTTTTATCCCAATGGCGTCAAAATTACCTGAATTTGAATGCAATAGCGCGACATACGTGTGAAATGCGATTGATAAAGTGGTTAATCCCAGTTGAACATTAATAATTGAATTTTTCTTCGTTATACTTGGTATCCTATTCAGTAGATGGTTCAGTTCAGTACTGTTCTTACATGCCCCAGTTATGCTTTTAAACTAAGTTTAACCATTAGATTTACGGTGTTGAGTTGTCATAGGCGTGAGAAAACAATCCTGTCCCAGAAATTAAACCCTGGACCCTGAGATTGGAAGGCAAGCATTTTAACCCCCAAGCTGTTTAGAAGTCATATTAGTAATGAACTGCAACAATATGTTTCAATACGAAAGCATATTAAATGTCCTAAAAATGATATACCTACCAAATATTTAAAAAATTGAATCATTTACTGCATATGAATATCTAGTGAATCACTCTTATTGAATCCATTTGATGATTTCTTTCTAATTAGTCTTATTAAATTTTTATTTAATCCCATAGCGATATTTTTGAATTGTATCACTTTTTTTTCTGTTGTTAAATGTTGAACAGATCCATGTATTGGCATGTGTTACCTATTAAATGAGGCCTATTTGAATACCAAATATTGTTCTGAACTAATCCTATAGGATGATCTCATACAGTTATTCGTTTTGAATTGAGTCTTATTAGTTATTGTTTATAAAACACATGATACCAGTGGCGTATTCAAGAATTCGAAATAGAGGGGAATCATCTTTAACAGATTGACGTCTATACCACCTCAGCCCCAAGAAAATATATGATTAAACGGCACATCTAGATAGCCGGAAATGGCACCCTCAAACTTAAATTTGAATATAGTTTTCTGTTTTCCCCCATTTTTTTTCTTAAGTTTTAAATATTTAGGGGGGGCGGCAATCCCCACCCCTGGATAGGCTTATTATCACGCAAAAGACATGTTATATGCCTAAACGTGAAAAAGTGTTATGGAAGTTACAATGAAAAATCTACTTCAGGCTTGCAGGTAAATGAAATATGCATATATTTGAGGAAGTGTTTCATTGACATCAAATGATGTCAAATGATCTCTGACAATATGTTCAGAATGAACGGGGTCCTGAATTTGTTAAAATATAACCGTACGGTACTGAACATTTCTGTTAGAATAGAACCAATTTACAGCTTATTCTAAATTAATGTCAGGGGGTAATTTTGCCAGAGTAATGGCCCCTTGATGTATTGAGACCAAATGTTATGGTATATATCGTTTATAGCAGTGTTTCACAAACAAACACATAAAATTGGTAAGTGATGGAGAACAATACAACTACTGCATTTGTATCAACCAATAATATTATGATATGTGTATACAAAATGGTCACAAATATCATCGATGTCAGATCAGATTTATTTCTTTTCTTTTCAAAGGTCATCTTACCATGCTACTGCCTGCAATATATACAATACCGGTACATTGTACTGTATAAAGTATTATATATTCATGGTGCACATTGCTTATTGTGTTAGGACGCAATTCTAAAAGGTGTGACGTAAAACGTTTCATGGACTACAGGGACTTGTACTAACATTTCATTTCATTTTATTCAATATCAAAAAAAATTATCTATCTTAAAAAATTCTAGTCAGCTGTATGTCAATACCGCACTAGAACTAATGGCATTACATTACAGCTGAATATAGTTAATTGAAAAACAAAATGAAGAAGGCTGAGTGTATTTTTAAATTGATAACATAAAACTGGGCTACAAAAAAGGAAACGTGACTTAAATTTTAATCCAACTAAAAACCTAAAGACAGCAACACGAATGTTACAGTATAACGAGTTTTACTGCACATACGATTTCTTATGATCCTTGGACTTCAATGTAGTTATCATGAATATATCCCTTTAATTATTTCATTCATAGGAATAGGCGTATATAAGCGATTTTGAAGACTTGGGCTTGCAGGATGTCCTTCATTCACAATTCTGGCTTTCTACCCCTCCCAACACAGGCACATGCGCAAAGATCTTTCTATGGTAAATCCCAGCAGATGAGTTCACGCATCAATTCCTAACATATTCATAACTGTACATTATTTTCATGGAACGAACACATAATTGTTTGAGTTGCAATACTACTGATGTTTTCCATCAAAATATCAGAAACAATTAAGCTGCTGTATACATGTAGTTTTATGTGGAGTTAGTTGGACAGGCATCACCTGTCTACCAGTCATTTGTAAATTGATTGTCGTACGCTAGATGGCGACCCCACTAAAATTAAGCCTAATTTATTATAATTTTATATTCCTGTAAGTTGTAATATATACCGTAAGCGAGTCGATTGGCCAAGCGGTTAAGAAAGAGGAACCGTGACATACAGCCCTAATACCGGCGCTGGTTCGAACGGCACGCTCGCATGTGGTTCCAGTGGTGGAATAAGTCTTCTCGGATAAGGACTCTAACTAGTGTACACAATTGGCTCGTGTGCACTTTAAAGAACTCATTACATCTTTCGAGAAGAGTAGGGGGTTACCCCGGTGTACTGGTCCATTTCCAGTCCCCTGTCCGGCCACAGAAGGAACGTTTTACGTCGTGGGCCCATGTCAGGTATCCATCCTACCTGCAAAACCTTCTACCACACTACGTAAGCAAGATCATACGCACTAGCTACGTAGTGATTCGATAAGAGGAAGAAGTGGACGAAAGACAAACAAGAAACCCTATCATCAGGGCTTATGTCAATAAAGACTGATTATACCTTCTAATTAGTGCTAAAGAAGTGCTTAATTGGTGGCCATATTTGAGAAAACACGTCGGTTGTTTTCTGCTTTCAAAGTGAGAATGAAAAACACGACATTATGATTCCCATTCATCACGTGATGCTGCTGTCTTGAATTAAAAGCCAGATTCTCCTTCATCGTCTTCCCATGTTCCAATCTAGAGAATTAGATTAACCATTAACAGCAAGTAGCCAACTCTTTACTGTATTAATGAGCCGCGGAAACGCGTAATTCGATTTGATAACGCGTCGTAAAACGGAGGGAAACTGACAGCTGAGAGATGACGTATGGACAGTACGATGATAAGATGGCCCAAAAAACAACCTACCATGTCATAAAGTTGATAACATTTCGAACGTCTTGATTCATAATCAACATGTCTTCAAATTATCGTTTTCAGTGCGCACCTGTTTACATTTTTCACAGAAGTTCCAATCAAGCTTTTTTACGAGCACCGCCAATCTTTAAATGATGTAAATAAGAAAAACAGCCTGAGCTCCCCAAACTGCAATTGTTAGACACAGCGCATCACACTTTATTTACATAATATACGCGCTCACCTACGCTAAGACTATATAGACTTTCTTGGACATGGCGCAAAAAAACCAAGGGTACATCATGAAAGATAACATTATTTGGAGCACGTAACATATTTTGCATAAAAAATACAACGCATATCGGATGCGCTGTGAAGGAACACATCCTACGCGTTGTAATGCGACTAATGTACATAAATTGATTTAACATGAAAGA